CTCAATTAGTGAGTAATCAACGTTCTATTAAATGTTTGTTGATTCAATCAGTATGTACCTTAAAGGAGTGCATTAGATGAACCAAATTATCATGAATTTATTGGAAGTGGTCATTTGGATTCAGATAAATAGATAAATAAAACGAAAAAATAATGTACATTATTCTTATTAAATTCGTTTTAATCCTTTCAGTCCCCATGTAACTGTAGTGTACAGTAATTTTACATTGATATAATTACAACTAGAAATTAATTTCAGCCACATACTTTGATTTTCTTCTCTTACTATACGGAGAATGGTCGCACAGCGCAGATTTCTGAGTGCCTTTTAAAAGGAGATAGAAAACTCCTCCATTTTGACGCCTTATTACGTGTTGCCTACATCTTGGCGCAATATTTATAATATTTTGCTTGCTGCTGTCAGAGTCAGTAAACAAGTTTTGAGGATTTATATATCATTTCGTGTTTCAGACGTGATTTACACGATTATTTTTAATTAATTGGTGATTGTATGTTAATTTTTAGTGCTTTGTTGTTCTCTTTTCATTGTCTAAATATCAGGATGTATAGACTACCAGTTTAACATTTAGGAAATATATGTGTTGCCTAACCTAGTAGTAAAGGCACAGTTTATTGCTAAAGAATTAGTTAGCTCACTCGGACCAGTTGAATATTCCAAAATAACATCCACTCCAAGGATACAAATTCAAGATGCGCAGAAGACTGCTGTTTGAATATAGGCAATTAGGCATCCCAAACTGAATGGCTACCAGTGAGTTTTGACAGATTATGATATAGCAAAATTGTGGCAACCCTGTAGGCCTGGTGATTTGACAAGGTCAATGAAATAGATAGTTACATAGATTGATCATCCATATTTTTCAAAATAAATATAGGCTTATGTCTTGAAGTAAAAATGTAAGGAATTATTATTTTTTAAATATCTGAAGACTAAACATTGGTTTTAAAACACATTTTTGCTAAACCGATTTAAATTAATATTTGCCAGGCAATATGGCCGCTCACAAACGACCAGCTTTAAGCAATCTATATAACAATATATGTTTCATTGACCCTGTTAATGACAACATGACAACAGGGTTGCCATATCTCAACTGTCAGTCCCCAATGGTAGCCATTTGGACAGGTCGTTGGGATGCCTAATATTTTTAATATTTTGCTTGCTGCTGTCAGTGTCACAGAATATTATTTTTGGAGTCACAGTTTATTGCTAAAGAATCAGTTAGCTCACTCGGACCAGTTGAAAGTTCCAAAATAACATCCACTCCAGGTATACAAATTCAGGATGCGCAGAAGACTGGTGTTTTATTATAGGCGGTTGTCATATATTTTATTATCCGAGTTGCGCAGTGTATAAACTGGAACATTGAGATCAAAAGTGCCGACGCAGAGTGAGCGAACTGATTCTTTAGCTATAAACTGTATTAAAGGCATCAAAATGGCCGCGCCCTATGTTGGGCGTGTCGGACCTCTCTTTTGCACTGTATAGTAATCAAAGTATGTGGGTATATCATAGTTCTACAATCACGTAACATGGGTTTACAGTTTTCCTGATTTGTACTACCAGATTGCGCTCTTTATAGATGTTGATATTTTATATTACACAAAACTGTTAGTATCTAAGACGTCGTAGCTTATATTTCAGAAATATTGTTTTCTTTTTGTTGTTAAAATCGTGTGCACTATAGTGTACGTCAGGATTGACAACAGTGATATGCGAATTATTTTCCTAACCTCACAAAATTATCTAAAAAAGATTTAAAACGTTATACAAACACAAAAATGAACAGAAAAGCGTTGTCTAAGGAAGAATTAATTTATTATCTAGAAAATGATGTGTCTTACCTAGAATTTCTAAGTAAAGATGACGATGGTTGTGAATCTGATTTTTTTGAAAGAAAATGCAAGATATAGTTTTAATGGAAACATGTGTAATATTGCTGCCTATTTTCTGTGCAGAAACTCTTAGTAGTAATGAAGCAGTGGAGCAAGCAGCTGACACATCTTCAGTGCCTGAATCTACTTGTGTTTTATGATGTACCACACTAAAAAATAAATATTTTTTCCAGTTAAGTGTTTATTTGTTTGTTTATTTTTCTTCAAAATCCAAATAGAGTGTACCACACAGTGTACAAAAATAATATTGATATAACATTATTTTAACTATATCCAAAATTAGTAAAAAAAATAAAGCAATGTGCTATACGCATCGTTATTTTCCTATTAAAATTATTCTTATAAATTTTAACCGCAATATATCTTGTTTTTTTAATATTACAATTAGAGGGTGAGTTGGCTCTGAGTCATGACTTTGAGATCGAAGAGTCTCAGGTTCGAATCCCGCTGGTGGTAGATATTTTTATTTAATTTATTCAAATAAATAATAATTCTAAGGATCATTCTATGCCGATGACACAAAATTAAAAAATCTGATGTGTCCAACACATGACTTTCCTATCTAGTTAACCTATTGCAGCATCTCTAAAAATGTTTAGAGGATAAACTAAATGTATACATTTTCCACATACATCTACTTCGAAACATTTTTCTATAGATATTCATTGAAAACGAAAATACTGAAAAATTTAAATTTAGCACTTTTCCTCCAATTTTTCCATTACGGTCCATTTTAGAAAAGTCATTTAAAAACAAAAATTATAGAGATCGATATCGCAAACAACTTTTAGTTTAACAATTTTCTTAAAAATCAGAATTTTGCACATTTTGTCAAATTTCTCGAATACGGACCATTTTAGGAAAATTTTGCATAAAACAAAAATTATAGATAATGATATTAGAAGTAACTTTTATTTGAAGAAATTTCTTCTCCAAACGTAAATAACAGATATATTCCATAAAATATAAAAATGACCACCTATAAAGTACCCCCCCAGATGTTCCGACTCTGCCCAAAATCTAATCAGCTCATTGGACGCTGAAAAAAAGCTTAAGTTTAAAATTTGGTATTTTTCTGTTTATCGGTTCATGAGTTATGCGACCTACAGACACACACACACACACACACACACACACACACACACACACACACACACACACACACACACACACACACAGACACACACAGACACACACACACACACACACACACACACACACACACACACACACACACACACACACACACACACACACAGACACACACACACACACAGACATCATCGCGAAAATAGTCAAAACGGATTCAGGGAACCTCAAAACGTAAAAATCCGCCGAAAACTCGAGGTCGAAAAAAATCATGATTCCTATACTTTCCTTATATCTGTATACAGATAGGAAAGTAAAAAATATATATTACAATTTGGCGCTCAACGTTAAGCATGTACATACGATCCTGAGATTAAGAGTCTCCTGTTCTACCGACTGAGCTAGGCTAGAGAAATTTATGGGACTGACTCATCCTCACCTAAGGAAAAAGCCTAGAATAATGACGGATTACGAAATTAAACGCTTGTGAAAAAAATTTAATGATTTAATATTTTGTTTATAAATGCTTTATAAACATCACACACACACACACACAAATTAATAACCTACAAAAATTTACGAAAAACGGTCGAAGAGAAATAAAACACATTTTGGTGGATAATAATCTGTTGAATTTTTATAAAAAAAGAAAAAAAATAAATTTACATTTTGACATACTTTGTGAATTTAACAAAAAAAATATTGAATCAAGTGGTTATTTCTGAAGTTGAATTAGAAACAAAACATAATTTATTTGTTAGTCAGTTGATATGTAGTTTTGAAGGTAGCAAATGTAGAAAAATATACTACTTATTACAGTTTAAAATTATATATTTTAAAAACCTTATCATAGCTGACTGTTTTTCAAATATTACAAATTGGCGCCCAACGTATACTTGATCTAATATGAATTAAATAAATGTATTTTTAGCCAAATTTATAAGGTTTGTTTAAAGTTTAATTTGCGACAATGTTAAATGTAAAGAGAAAGCAAAAATAAAATAAATCCCCCCGTTATTACTTATACAGTAAAACAAACCGAATTATGAAATTCGTCCTCTTAGGAACAAGTCAGTAATTTGTTTAACACGGGATTTTTTTTTGTGTCTTGTAAAATTCAGTAGCATAGCTACTTAATATACAAAGAGTTGTAATTTAATTTGAAGTCGCGAAAATTTTGGTATTTTATCGTTTGTGTGGTAGTTATTTAGAGAGTATATAATTTATTTTGTAATATATCATTTTGAATTTGTTGACGATAATTTAAATAATATTTATTAGCAATGGCAATTTTGAGGCACTAGAAGAGTAAAAATAAAGAAAAAGTTTTAGTTTTTCAGATAAGAAAGATGTGAGACAAGGTGGAACCTAAGGCTGTTGCTTATAATAAACCAAATCTAAAGGTATTTTGCCGAATTATGCACTACTTTTAAGATGCATTATTTTTTGACAGACCTTCCATAAACCAAACTGTATTTCAAAATAATGTTTGGATTTTTAAGAAAACAACTAAACGATTTTTCATTTCTTTTATAGATAATTTAAAATAATGGTGTACTAACTGAAATTAGTTTGTAGTTTTTTGTCTTCGATTTAAAAAAAGCTGTAACTGTAAATAAAAATGTTATTCATTAAAATGTGTCATATGAGTTTTGCAAATCGGAATATAAGGTTATTTTTCAATTTAATTCATATTAAATAAAGTATATCTTGTTTTTTCCATACAATTATTGTTTATTTTATTTCTCTCCTCATTAATATGGCATTTTTCGTAACATGACATTAAAAATATCTACCAATTCATATTTTTATACAGTTAAATTTTTTTTGTACTTTCAACACATCCTGTACACATTCAGCGAGCATATTTTTATATAAAAACAGCAATTGTCTATTGATGATTTGATCTTCTTATCGCTTTATATTCATTTCTATAAATTTAAATGTTTAAATGACGTAATATACATCATAATTAAGTCTTTTTTTTTATTATTTTTATTTTTCTTCATCGTTAAAAATGTCTTCTAGAATTTGTTTGGTTATGGTCCGATGAGGTTTTGTAGGATCCAATTTTGGTCGTCCATATAATCGACTGTTTATGATGTATAATCTAAAAAAAAAAACGAGAAAAATTAGTACTGCTATTAAGTATTATACAAGGTATGATAGTTTTCCGGTTTTATTTTGAAATTAATTCATGTATATGAATTTGATTATTAGGCATTCCAACTACCTGTCAAAATGCTGCCAGTGAGAACTGATAGTTTAGATATGGCAACCCTGTTGGTCTGTTGCAATGACAGGGTAAATGATACATATATAGTTATATAGATTGCTCAAAGCGGCCATATTGCCTAGCAAGTGTTCATTACTTTGAATCGGTTTAACAATAGTACACTATGCAACGATCATGTATTAATAGCCATTACATGAGAGTTGCATACACTATTTTTTCTACAACCAAGAAACTATTTCAATTCAACAACATTGCTTTATTATTTAATTATTTAATACTTTTTTATACAAACGATAAGAAATAAAATATAAAAGAAAAATAACTTATTCGTCTTAATTCCTACACAATAACCAATATAATAACTATGATGATACATGTTTTGCCTTTTCAGCGATTTCAGGTGGTGTGCATGAAAACTATTCGTCGCTCGACATTTTTTTAAAAATAAGTGAGAGTTACTTATCTACCTTTTTGACTAACGCAAAAGATTGAAACTGTCATAAAACACGAATCTCTTAAAAACTGTCAAACATTCTACAGAAAATATTGTGTCTGCCTACTTGCTTATTTAAAAATCTAGATTTCTATTGGTCAATTTTTCAGTTCCATAATAAAAACCAGTGTTATAATGAGTATTATTATGAAACTGAAAATTAGCATTTAATTAACAACTTATAGTATAGGAGTAGAAAAAATGTCTTTTAAAACCAATTTCCAGCCTTTGAATAGTAAAATAAAAATAATTATCTACATTTTAACTTTAAGGCATATGCTTGTTTATTTTTTAAAGCATGGAAGATCAATCTATATAACTATCTATATGAGTGATCCTCTCAAATCACCTGGAGCGCGTTCAGATGACTTTACACGGGAGTAGACTAATTTTCTTAGATTGTTTGCCCAGACTACTCTAGAGTAATTCTCATTGGCCCAAAATTTCTGAACGGCAACGAGAGTAAACGTCAACGAATTTGAAAATTATAGTATTTTACAGTTATTTGTTTATAGACATTTTATTCCTTTATATAATGTTTGATGTTCCTCGCTTCCCGTTGTTATTATTACTCGTGTCACGTATAGTTTTACCTTTTACTCATTTAATTTTTTTAGCTGTTTTTCTTTCTTTTTATTTCAATATATACCTATTCACAGTCCTATTTATAATCAAGATTATAATGAATGATCTATAAAGTCAATAAGACAAGAAATTTTAGATTATTTATTTTAAAACAAATTTAACCTCATAAAATTCCTCGTCTTGTCCACTTTGTAAAATTTTCGGAGAAACACGTTTGTTATTTTTATTAATTGCTTTTGTTTAAAGACTAGTTTTATTCGATTTTGGGGTGGGTGGGTGGGTGGGTGGGTGGTTGGTCCGTGATGCTTTAAACACTTTGGCATATTGATGACTTTCACAGCCGTATGCATAGTCGATCGCCAGCGACTCGCCAGCGATTCGCTGGCGATCCGCCGGCGAAAGCCCAAAAAGCTGGCGACTCGTCGGAGATTGTCACCGAAATGTCATTTCACGCAAGTTTTTATGTTCTTTTATAGGGAAAAATTTGATATTCGTTCATTATTTTTTGAGTTTTAATAAATGAATCATGAATAAAATGCGAGAGATACCGGTGATAATCCATATAAAAGAAAATAAAAACTTGCGTGAAATGACATTTCGGTGACAATCTCCGGCGAGACGTCACCTTTTTAGGCTTTCGCCGGCGGATCGCCAGCGAACCGCTGGCGAAACGCCGGAATGAATCTCTGGCGAGTCGCTGGCGATCGACTATGCATACGGCTGATAGACTTTTACTATTTGTACAAAAACTACCTCAATGTGTCAAAATTGTTTAATAGCTACCGTTTTCCAGTCCGGAATGCGACGACTTTCTTTGAAGAGTCAAGGGATATGAAAAACTCCCTTCCGAACTAAAACGTAAAAAACACATGTTAATATATAAACATATATATGTAACAGTTATATATAAGAGGCGGCGCTGCTTTTGGGTTTGCCCAGGGCGCCACTGACCCTTAACGCGGCCCTGCCTAAACGGTTAAGGTAGTTACTTCTTTAATTAGATCCTATCTGCATTAAAACAAAGAAAGTATGGATAAAGTTGTTTCTACGGAAATGTATAGCGTATCATCATAAATAAATTGTAACTTTTTATATTTCAATAAAAATTTAAATTTGATTTTTTTTTGTAAAACAAAATCTATTTAGAAATAATATTAATACAAATAATTGATAACTTGGCCAAAATATAAATATACTTCTCTATCTCAAAAAAAATTTGTATTTCTTTAAAGGTATGTTTCGTTATATCACCTTGTAAATCATTATTTTGTATGTTAACCTTGTACCTACGTATAACTTAATGGCGATAAAATGACTCGGCGATGAAACGGCCAGCGATGAACTGGCTCTGCGATGAAACAGCGGCGTAGAAACGGCGGCGATGAAACGGCGGCGATGAAACGGCCTCAAAAAAACATCCCATTCCCCTACTGTTATACTAACCATTTAAAGTTTCTGATTCAGTACGTCTTTTGTGAACGTATCCGATGGTATATAAATATCAAAACTACCGTTTTCATAGGAAGGCTTAGGAAAAATACTATTATTTACTTACTTTTCGCTTAACTCGCACCTAACGTTGAACCACCAGTCACAGACGAAAACCAGTTGGCTAAATTGGGTGCCGTTCGGGCACAAAAACGTCGTCTGTCGTCCATCAATATCGCAGTAGTGCCAACTTTGACAACGAGTCTCGGTATCTGCGTAGAATCCAGGGTAAGGTTGTTCATCGCAGTAGAAATTTGTGTAAGGAACTGTGTTCAATACTGGATAGTCAGATCCTGGTCGACCTAAAAGAGTTCAGAAGTTTTAAAGTACAAAAGTCCGATGAAAATGATTGTTGAATTGACTAGATAGTACATAAAATTATAATTAAAAAATAACTACATTAATGGAAAAATTTATTGCATTTTTAAGTTGAAGATTGTTTAGATATTACATTTTCACCACGTAACCTGTTGCTATTAGGGAGTTGATATTTGGAGTAAAATAAACAAGTATTAGAAATTAAAAATTTAAAAGAACCTACTACGTGCAGATGCCATCACCACATCTTTAACAAAGTTATATGGGATCACCCCTGAGGTACCCCCTTACTAATACAAAAAGAATCATATAAATCGGACAAGGTGGTAAAGCATTATTGCTAAACATACACAAAAAAATGAAGACTGAGGATTTTCTCATGAACCCAATTATTCAATTTTGACCAAATGTATATGGAACCACCCCTGAAGTGCTCCCTTTCTAACAAAAAAAGAATCATTGAAATCGGACACCGTGTTAAAGAATTACGCTGAACATACATAAAAAAAAAATGAAAAAAATATATTGCGACGAATTGAGAACCTCCTCCTTTTTTGAACTCGATTAATAAAATAAGATATACTAAAACCTACTGCATCTACAAACTTACATTAATTATAATATTTAATAGTAATTATTCTCGAAATATATTTCACAATTTCCATAAACCAAAACAGTTTTTTTTTTCAGTTTCAACTAATTATTAATAATCATCGTATCCTATGAATAAATTTAAATACCCCATAATTTGAAACTGTTTCGATTTAAAGATTGTAGTACTGCATCTTCGTAACCTTTAAACCTTGCTTTGTGACATCTGGCAATGGAAGATTACATTAAAATATTTTTCTTTCTTCCCAATACGGGTCATACAAGGTAATTTTTTTGTCTGTCTCTCAAAACGAGATGTAATCGTTCAACCTCATCGTTTGTCAATTTTTAATTAATTTTTTGTTTGGTTATACGATCATTAACAGCCATTATCTCGTCACAAAGTCATAAATTAATTTTTCTAATCCTTGAGAAAACGTATAATAGAACACCCACAGAGTTTCAAGATAGCATATTATTTTTTATGGTATAATTACTTTTAAATTCTTCAAAAATCTGTATTGGCAGTGTTATATGCATAAAAACGGAAAACAATGAGGAAACAGCAATAAAAACGTGAAGCAATCGCATATTGTACCGAAGTACCGAAAACTAACAATTTAAATGATACCGTAAAAGGGATTTTTGTAATACGAAGGTAATACGGCCTTAGAATCAAAATATTAAATGTAGAATTGATGAAGAAACTTTTGTAAAAAATATCTGATACAAGATTATATTTATATCCTCTAAGAATGCTCAAGAATATCGTACCTTCCAAATAAAGTGGGTACAAGACTATCTGTTTATTATTCATAAGGAAAAGTCAATTCACTTGATATGTAATAAAGCCGTTACGGTTTTAAAAGAGTACAGTTTAATAAAAAAATCCATACACGGGAAATCCATACATATAGGAACGTGAAAATTAACAGTTTTCCCAATAACACATACAACAAAAGCAAAGCAACATTAATTATAAGTTTCATTTCGAATGAATCGTGAGAATACTACACTATTTTTAGGAAGTTTGTGGTATTCTGTTGTAACAGGCTTCAAGCTTCACCTGTAGTGAAGGGCAAGGTCGTGTTTGGCGCTTAGATGGTAAAATCAGAACAAGGGTTGCTCAGACGCCAATTTTGCTAACACAGTCTGTTCTGCTACCCTGTAGTTCACCAGAGTGTACTCAAAGTAGACTCAGTGAAGTTAAAAATACAGTCACCGTTAATGGGGTAGCCACTAAAATACAATAAATGAAACTACACTACCTCACACCTTGTATCCTACGGTACCCTGAAATAAAACAGTTGAGAGCTGGTAATGAAAGAAAGGAAACACAGGAATTATTAACAAAATATATTTTAAAATAAAATAAAAACACTATAAAAAACTCGGGATACTATAATCAGTATCACCGGCACTCCCTGTATAATAGAAGATGAGTTTTCAACTAATTAACGGTTTAATCACAAAAGTTGAACAAAAATAATTATTAAATCAAAAGAAATAAATCAAACGGTAATAACGTCCTCTTTGTATAATAGAAAATGAATTTTCAATTAAAAATTATTTTATTAAATCAAAAGAAATAAATCAAACGGTAGTTACAGTACTCCCTGCATAATAGAAAATAAATTTTCAATCAAATAATGATTTAAACACAACGGTAGAACAATAATAATTATTAAGTCAAAAGTAATAAATCAAACGTTAATTCGGCTTTTTAATGTTTAGAAAAAGAAAATAATTAAATTTTTACTTCAAAACACATTATTATGTATTTTGAAAGTTGAGTTTTCATGTAGTTAAATAGAGGAGAACGAAACTCCTACATATACTATGCCACTATTGGAACCTTAAATGGGAACGGGAATGGTAGAGCTCGATTTTTTTGTGAAGAGCACATTTCCTCATAGCTATGCCACAGTTCGCGCAGTACGTCATAACTTTGTGGAGCTTTAGTTGATGGCGGGGCTGAAATCTGCTGCGATAGGGGTACCTGATATCTTACCAGTGGCGTGTGTACATTAATAAAATATTTTAAATCGAACATATTAATAAGTTAATGTTAAATTTTAACTATTCGTTAGTTAAATTGCTGATGAACTGTAAATTAATAAAACAACTAAAAGTTTAAATAAATAATATTTTTTAATTTAATTTGTATAATTTTAAACATTTTCATCATCTACATCATCTTCCAAGTCAGAAATATCGGATTCCCACTCATCGGATGACCCCGTGTTTACACTAAATATGAGGGAATCTGTAAATTCATCCATAAAGTGTTTTCTTTGAATATATGCATCCTCATATTTCGCGGAATGGTCCACCACGTTTGGCCATTCCTCCGGCGTTATGCTTCGGAATTTTTCTCTTGCCAACTTTTCAACATTATCCAACTTGAATGTTGTGTTATGTTGACTCACCCAATTTTTTACTGTGGCCCATATTTTTTCTATGGGATTTAATTCGGGATGATATGGAGGTAATCGTAGAACTTTGTGTCCATGTTTTTCGAGAAGATCGTCTAAAAGAAATTTCGGTGGAGGTCTGTGAACTTTTATTAATGTGTACAGTTCTGGTTTGGTCATTTTAGCACCATGTGGTATATTGTTTTTAAAGAGCCAGTTAATTAAATCTGCTTTTTTAGTCTGCGTTGTAATCGAATTTTCAGATTTTACATTATGATAACTTGCATTATCGATTACAAGTACAGACCTTGGAGGAAGATTTGCCTTCTAACCCATTGGGAAAAATTATTCCAGTTCATTTCATCATGATAATCTCTTGTCTTTTTCCCTGAAAAGAAGTAAAAAAGAATTTATTCTCTATAATGCAAGTATATTTTTCATAATTATTTTTGTATGATACTTAAACTTACAAAAAAACTCTTTTAAATGAAATAATTGCTTACTTAAGCAAAAATTATTAGGAATTTTAAATCACTTAAAAAATAATCTGTTTTTAGAAGAAATATTTTTTCAAGACTTATTATAATAATCCTAAGAAAAAGTTATTACTAAAAACTTTCCCTTGTATAACAATAAAGGATTAAGTACAGGTAAAGATCTTTTAACTAAACTGAAGATAATAAAATAAACCACTACATTAAGTATTTAAATTACTTGTTAATTAGATACTTTACCAGTTTAAATTAAATTTAAGCTGATCATAACTTTCGATTGTTAAGCATCATGGATTTTTATGAAGTAGGCAAAGACGCAAATAATAAATAATTTTCTATAAAAAATAGATTATTACCTGAAGTAAATATCAATAGTCCATTTTCTACAAAACCATCCCTACTCCCTGCATGCAATACTATGGGCCTTTTCCCCTTGCTCATTGGAGTTTTGAATTTGCCTTTGCCATCGGTCCATCCTTTCGAATGTGTATGACTACTATGTAAATAGGTCTCATCACAATAATAAATAGTTCTACTCTCTTGCCGATAATGTATTAAGGATTTTAAATAATTTGTCCTCTTATTCCTAATAAACATTGTAATTTTATACGTACAAAAATTGACTATGAGAAATTAATTATTTTGGTATCATTTTTTTTAGATAACGTTATTTATACTTACTTAAAACCCATGTTTAAAACAACAATCCTTCATTTTTTGTAATATACCTAAAATAATATTTATATTAAATACGTTGCCATTATAATCAAAATAGTAACTTACAATTTAGAGTTGGTAGTCTTTTCTCAATAATATGAAAATCATGGATTATACCTATGAGTTTTTTCAACTCTTCGGGCCTTATAGATTCTACAACTGTACTTCTTTTTGTATATCCTCTATGTGAAAATGAAGTACTCCACTTTCTACTTCACCAGCCATCTTCTTAATTCTAGAATAACTGCTTCTAGAAATCCCTGTATTTGTGTAATGGTATTTGAATACCGTGTTCAGCCTCGTTTTGCATAAAATTTATGAGGCGTGAAATTATTTCTTTCGTTTGACTTTGAAGAATTTGGCCCTTTTTGCCTAATAATTTTTTCTGTTCCTCAGACATATTCTTGAATTCATCAAGAAAATCAATCTGATGGGATAGAAACTGTGAGGAGTACAATAATCCTAGAGATTCAGTACAAGTGGGCTTTAAACCATGCCCTAATTTAGATTGATAGATACCCCATTTTCTTGTATGATACTTATTAAGTATTTTTATGTAATGTTACGAGTGGAGAACTGATGACGTTTGTTGAATTAAAATTTGTTAATAACGTACTCGAAATCATTTTACCTGGTTAATTTTCAACACTAAAATTACTTACATAACCTAATCTAACAAATATTTTAATGCTAATAATTCAAATAAAAGTTTAAATTTTAAATTAACTTCTTTTAACTTGAAAATCACAAGAAACAAAGATAAGAGTAAAATTAACATGGCGCAACAAAGACCACACCGACTGTAATCGAGGAACTGGTACTAATATAATGGAATAAGAAGAATTTCACTTCTTGCCATATTATTTTTCTTCGAAATGACTTTGCAGGCAACCTAGATTTGGAGCAAGGATTTTTCTTTTAATCGCACATAAACCTTTACATATCGGTGAACGCATTTCATTGAAAATATTTGAAAAAGTTTGCGTTGAATGCAACATTAAGTGACAAATAAAGGTCGAACGGAAATGCACAAAATCCCAATTAGAGTCAATGTTATACTACTACTAGCTAAAAGTTGATTATGTGTGTGTACCTATGCTATAATTACATCTTAAGTAATTTAATAGTAATGAAAAATATTAAAATCTTAACCAGGGACGGGCCATCCATATGGGCAAAATATGCCCATAGATAAATAGCAGAATATGGTTTGAATTATAGACGGGACTTGTTTCCTTGTTTGTAGTTCAACCATAAGCGCTTAACGCGTTGCAAACACTATAAATATAAACCCGTTTTACACCCACAATAAAATAATTTTTCAAAAATTATGATAAACAATAATTTTGACACAATCCTTTAAATTTCACATTAATACAATATGTGGTCAAATACAGGGATAATCGTTAATATATGTAAAGTTAAAGTAAAATGTAAATATTATGAGATGGTGTAAATCTAGCTTCGATAATAAATTAGCTTATGTCGTCCTAAAATATCTTAGAGTCTAAGTAAAATATGTCGGTCTGATATTTTCCCGGAGAGGATCAGAATAATTGTTGAAATGCCATGTCGAGTCCAGACAGGTTTTAGGATTTGCTTGTAGAGAAGCAATTTGTAATGTGTAGAAAGCTTAGAATGTATTTATATCAACCAGTAAATTTTTCTGTATTTCATTTTAATTTCTTCTTGTTTCTTTTTGACATGTACTCTCCAGCAGAGCCTAGCGTCTAGACCTAAAGTCATACCCAGGTATTTTGCTGAATCATCAAAAAGGATTTTATATTCATCTTATGAAATAAAGAAAATTTTATTTGGATTTTGTATAAGTATTACTATTATCAGAGTATTAAAATGTTTAGAGCGCCAATAGAACCCAACCTGAGATAAGAGCCCAAAGATAAGTGGGAATTTTACCATAAATCTTGCCATAAAACAATTTTATGACTATGTGTATCGTTGTTAACTCTGATTGGAATGTGTTTCTTCCGTTTATTTGTCAAGTTGTCGTAAGTGGATTTGTTTTCAGTCAATCGAATAATCTAGTGCAGGTATGGATCTGATTTATGTGTGTTTGAATTTATTTGTCTGCTTTTTCCTGATCTTCTCCTGTAACTAGAATTGCATTTTCGTCTGCAAGTATAGGTATTGTGCCGTGCTTAAGGTTAGGTATCTCATTGGCGTATAGTAGATAAGGTACGGGACCCAGGACACTACCTTGTGACACTCCTGTTTTTATTTCCATTAATTCAGAATATGCTTCTTCCTGTTAAATTCTGAAATATTTTTCTATTAAATATAATTTTAGTAAGTCTGAATATTTTTCTGGTAATAGTGTTTCCAGCTTGTTGAAAAATCCTTCAATTCACTTAATAATAATGATTCTGACATCCAGGCTATGGATTTTTTCTAAATGTGTGAAGCCAATTTACGAAAGGATATCGTAAAACCTTATCATAATTTTACTCGTTTTTGAAAACATTTGATATTGTTTAATTTTTTGGTGCCACTCATAATTAAATTTGCTAAATACTACCCAAAGATATACATATATAATAGAAGGCATTGTTCAAAATTTAATATTATATTATCTTCATCATATTAATTTTACATGGTTCAAGCGTAAAGAGCATAATGAGCAGAAATTATTGAGAATAAACGTACCTGGTATTGATTTCCCCAACTCCAAATATTCAATGACAGAAGGACTCAGAAATCCTGGCGGGACGAAATTTGGATTCAACTCGTTGTTTCTTTCATCAAAATCTTCGACGTCGTTTTCAGGTTCAGGTGGGGGCGCCCTTGGTCTTTTGACTCTCGATTTTTGTTCATAACCATCTGAAATAAACAACAAACTTGTTTTTAATAAAGAACTATGACCCACTATCATAATGTATGATTCATATGTTTTGGGGAAAAAAATTGAGGTTTCATTTTGTGATGTTTATGGTCTAAAAAGTTGGCTTTGGAAAAAAAATGCTGGTTGTCCAAGCTTCAATGTGATATTTATAATTTCAAAACTTATTAATTTTTAGTGGATGGCTGCATGTACTCGTATAAAAAGTACTCAGAACAATAACTTTTAACCTCAAAATTGTAAACATGATACTTTTATTTTCCGTTTCTGTTACAGGTTCTAGAAAAAAGGTATATTATGATTTTTGAGTATGGGGTTTTCGAATACATTTAGCGTAAGATTCACCAACATTTTTAAAATACTCGTATGTATTAAATAATACATTTTTAATATTTTTACTATCTTTTATTACAATACTTTTGTTCGAACATATTTCGATTCTAAATTTTCACTACCACTGATTTGCTTGACGGTTTTTATAATACCTTTAGAGCATTAATTTGTATGCTTATCTATTTTATTTTAGAAGTATTTGCTTTTTGCTTCTGTTTATTTATTTCTATATTTGAATAATATATTTTTTAGTTCCAAGTTTTAAGGGTTTTGTTTGTGTGTGTATTCTTTTTATAGTTTTTTGTGTGTCTTTATTTTATGAGTATTTTCCAGAACTAATTTTATTATAATATTTGTAAAATCATTTGTCATGTATTCTACTTTATATAAATTATACAAATAGTTCCAATCATATGGTTGCAACTCGCAACGTGCAACGTCTACTTATTTTTTTCTCTACACCCACATGGATATTAGCTTATCTACGCACAGATTACAAAACGAAAAAGTATGCTATTGCCTTTAACTGAACGAATATATTTCATATCCATTCTAGTTAGTGAGAACATTGCAAAAAAATTAAATCCACCAATTACCGTTCATATTTTGATCAACCGACTGCTATTATTTTTAAAATTTTAAATAAATGACAATTCTGTCAAAATAATTGTCAGTATATTTTTTGATTATTCAGAATAAACATACATTAAAATGGGTTATTCTTGTGTAGAATCGATAAATAATAGCATTTGTTTTTATTTCGTCTGTAATTATAAATAATTCGTTAATTTGAATAAAACTATATGAAGTCAATTTAATTACGAGTATTAAAGCAACAAAAATAAAAGAATAGGTGGTCCTGTGGTCAGCGTTCTTGCCTTCCACACGGAAGATTCGAGTTCGATTCTCGGATGGGGAAAAATGAAATGAAATTTTTTTCTTTTTGTTTTTAATTTATTTTAAAAATTATTAAAAGTCATAAATTATTTTAAAATTAGTTAGTTTGTCTTAATAACCTAAAATATTTTTTTTTATTTTGAAAAAATATATATCCACTCTTGTTGCACAAACTACTATTGTGTGCCCTGAATGCGAGTACTTTTATTTTTTATTTATTTATAAACAAATTCATTACAAAAAATGCAAGGAATCATGTGTAAACTAGCCCACTGCAGTATTTTTTTTCTTGAATTAAGAAGCTTGCAGACGTCGATTAGACAATGGGTTTGGTACCCACTATTATATTTTAATCCTACTTTGTATTATAATTATAACATACTTTGTAATACGTACATGCTTGTGTCACAATTGATAATTTTTTGCAGCCTTTTTTAAATAGAATCAGAGCCGGGTTAAGGAAATTTAATTAAAAATAATTTTTCCTAGTTAAAGGTGCATTTACCACCATGATTCTTTCAAAAAACATACCTTATTAAAGCATCAACAAATTATGAAAATAGGAATGAAATCTGCGCCAAAGTATTATTTAGATAATGATTAAGAAACAATTTTTAACAAATTTTATTTACAACCATATATGTAATGCTGTCATTACTAACTTCATTGAAGGTTGGGAAGTGTCACATTACACACCTCTACTTCCCGCCCTCATTTCATCTATTCTAGATGAATATTTTTTAAATTTAAAAATATCAGTTTTTTCTTCAATTTCTAGCATCGTTCGTATCATACTGCCCATAAAGTAGACGGCTTCTTTTGTCTGGTATGTTCTCCAAAATATGCCAGGAGTACACTTTCGGAACCGATATTTTTGACCTTTTTTTTCGCACCACTTCCTAAATAATTCAATGGCTCTTAGGTACCGATGCTTACTTTTCTCTGGCAAAACATTTTTTCAATTTATTATTCGCGAATTTAATATCCGACTTAATCTGACATTTATTGACTTTATCTGACATTTATTTATATTTGTGACAATTGTTTATCCCGTAGTCACGGTACCAATATATTTACTTGATTATTCTGAGAAAACCGCGTGCTTGGTAATTTGTCGTTAAAAGTAATATTTTAAGTATGTTCAGAACGAAACAGAGATTTATTAATTTTGATCGAAATATGATGGTTGTAAATAAATTAGTATACAAACTTCGGTAGGAAGTTTCAGTCCTGTCTCGAGATCATAGCTAACCTCGACGCTTCGCGTCTCGGTGATCTAACTAATCTCACGACAGGAATGAAACTCTTCCCACCTCGGTGTGTAATATACTATTAACACACTGTAACTCCGAAACGATGTTTTGGCCCATGGAATTCGCCTTTAAATTCTCGTGGAATATTAATGAATATCCGCTATAAAAATACCTAAATCCTATTTATAAATAACCTTGAAATACCTATACAGTTAAATTTTAATAAAATAATAAAAGTTTAATAAAATTAACCCATTACATTTGTCAATGCTGCTTTTTTATTAATGAAATGCTTTAAGACTGTCTCATTCTAAAAAAATACTGAAATTAATTGTCGTATCTGATGGTCAAACCTATGAACTATAATTTAATGAGAAAATGGCCCATTTGTTTTAATATTATTTAATTGATTTAATCTTATTTCTTTTTTCGTAATAGCATTTCCAAAACGTTTCTAAACAGAAATAATACTACACAAGATCATCCATCACGAGTGTAGAAATTATGCATGATTCAGCCTTCCACTCTTACACACGTAAATGACAAGGAGAGGTTCTCCTAAAACACTGTAAACAAATTCCAGGCTTGGCTTTGTTCAGCGATTATGTTCATGTTCAGTTCTGTTTTTTGTTTTTGTTGTGGCTATTGTAAGCTTTTTTGACGTCAATTCTTTGTTATCTTGCTTATATTTGTGATTTTTTGTGCTTTTACTCGATTTAGTATTAAATTATACTTGTTAATTATTGTCCGATGCACTATTTTATAATTGTTGCACAAAATGTTGTTAAACCGCCTCTGAATCTTATTTACAAAATGTGCAAAACGAAATTGTGCATACTGTTTATACTTTTTTATTGACAGTTATCATTCTACCCCCCCTCCATTTCATTTGACATAACTTTTCTATTCTTCGTCTTCTTCTGCAACAAATTTTTACATTTTAAAATTCGCCAGTAGTAGCTCCAACAAGGCTTGATCCGAGTCTGAAGTGAAATGTGTGTGTAGGATAATGAGATGTACTAAATTGAGATGGAAACAATTATCTTAGTTAAGTTGTGTATAATACTATGTAATTAGGTTGCAAGTTTTTAATTTTATTCAAGATTTTCGTATTCATAAACCGGATGTGAGCCATAGAGTTGCCCACATTGCGTCTGCAGCAAATTTTCAGTTTCTTAATACTTAAATGCCTGCATTTTTTTAAATACAGCTTAAAATAATTTTCTGGTTATTTAACAATATTTACATACATTCAGGGACGTGCCAAGTCAAATAATTTAAAAGTAAAATAACGTTATTTAAAATATTTTTATGTTAATACCTACTACGAAACTATAAACTATCTAAGAACATAATTTAATTATTTATGTAGTGGCCCATGCTGCTCCATAAGCCACAGGTTTCTTCGGATGTTCCTCATAAGGGTTTGGTTGCCTTCAATAGAGAGTTTTAGGGAACCTTCGCTAAACTTCCGTCAACGTTACGTTAGCGTTATACTGGAATCTCAACGTTTGAATTTTTATGAAAAATGTCACAAAGTAAGTTTATCGCACGATGAATGACATACATTTTACAGGTGTTTCAACTGTTTTTAAAATATGACACCAAACAGTGCATAGTACTAAAAAAATCCACCAGGGGTCGGTAGAAGGTGAAGTACCGCAATTTTTTTTTTTTTAGAATATTGTTACTAGTCATTACTGACTAACCTACAATTTTAATCTAAAAATCTTATTAACTAATTACTTATCTAAGAAGTCCACATTGGGCTGTCTTAATTGTTTCTATAGAAAAGCATCACAAGTTGGCGTGACGATTTATTTCACTGTTTTACACTAGCACTAACATTAACGTTCACTGCACTAGCTCAAATGGCTTCTTCATTTTGAGCCTTCTGTTGGGTGTTGCAATAGTTGACGTTACCTTGTGATAAAATGTTAATTTCAAAACACTTATAAGAGATTTTTGACTAGCTCAGAGAAATTAAACATCAAAAATTACTTACCTTTAAAAATTAAAAGAAATAAATGAGCACATTGACCATATTTTACTCAGTCGTGAATTCGGCTTTTCTAATAGACACCTTTGGAGTAATAATTTTAATTTTCTAGGAAAGTTGGGCACCAATATTTCTCTTTTTTTATTTTTGAAAGCTAGTGAGAATTATAAACTCTAGCTTCATCAACAAAGAAGTTAATAAAAACTTATACAAAATTTAATTTGAGCAAAAGGGAAGTGTTGTAACCTTTAAAAATAAGATTTAACATATATAATTATAAAAATGAATTAGTTTATTCAAATCAAAAAAGAAACTGTTCAGAAACAAGTCATTTAAAGTTTATCAGGTAAATTAACTTTTATCTCGTCATTAATAAAATTAGCCACTATTAGTTACCACATTTGATTTTGGCTGACAACTTCCTTAGGATGCAGTCGAAAATTCTACGACTCGGGAACGAACACCAAATCTCGCATTTCCCATATTTCTGCTACTCGAG